CATGTCGAATTGTTCCGGGCCCTGAGGGCCCATGGCCGGCGCGAAGAGGTTGTTCTGCCATGCTTCTTGCAGGGCCGGTGTCCACAGTGAAAAGGACGCCACTTCAATGGGCTTGAGGGCCTTGCGTCGATCCCTGAACTCTGTGTCCAGTGCCTTGTTGGCGGCTGCCGCTCTCTCCTGTGTGGTTTGGGCCGCCACCAAAGCCTCGTAGGAGGAGGTGAGGCCACTTTCTTCATGTTTTCTTTTGAGGTAGGACCTGAACTGCTGGAGGTCAGCGTGGCGTAGCATCTTGGCACTGACCGGATTCTGGGTTTCCTGTGCACCCTGCTGGATGGCAGTCAGTGTATGCAGCTCATCATCCATCGCCACAGTCTCTTGCTGGTGTTGAATTTCCTTCTTCGTCCTCTTGGCCTCCTGTGCCGCTTCCGTAAGCTCTTCTTCTGGGGTGGCCAGCAAGTCCACCTTGAAACGCATCAGTTCAATGGTCTTGGGGTGGAAGATCACAGCAGTTTGAGTAGAGTCTCGATCATCCATAGTGGGGGGGCGTTCGCCATCTGGATGAAAGATGTCGTCCTGCCCAAAAGCCACCACGTGCTGCTGCAGTGTCATGCGCTGGGAGGCAGGAACTTGCTCCGAAAAGCTAACCAGCCCCGTATCGGCGCCCGAAGCTGCCGCAGGGGGAGGTCGGCCAAGATCTCCCACTTCCACAAAGCCTGAGGCCTTAGTAACCTTAGTATCTGTGGGGACCCAAGTCGGTCCCGCCTCAGTGAGCCTAAGTTGCCAGGACTGGCCGGCCACCTCAATCACTGACAAAGGTGTCATTGACAGATCAACAGGCTGAGAGCCTTGACAAAGCAAACATTTGGATAACTGACCCCACGGTGCATTGCAATCAGAACAGACTAATTGCGGAGAAGTTCCAGGGTCCTTCTCTTTCAAATTCACCATGGATCCCCCACGCTGAGTGGTGTGTCGGAGTTTCAACATCTGTGTGTGGACAGCCTCGCGCTTCGAAATGTGGTAAACCTCTGCGATCTTGACCACCAAGGATGCCGTCCATGGAGAACTGCGGAAAGCATCCAAAAGAGAATGCAGCTCACCATGCGTAATGTCTCTGAAATACTTGGCAGCCGAGTGAGGCAGGGCCGGAATCAAAGGTGCCCAGCCTTCGATGGTGAAGGTCTCTGTGGTCGGATCCATGTGGAGTGTCAACGTCTACTTCTCTAAGGCCCGTGATGTCTGGGTCTGAATCTTTGCCTCTGCATGAACGAACCCCGACGGGGGTGGCCCACTTGACGATTCCACACCTGTCTCCGGCTTGGGTTCCAAACCCAAGTTTGCCATCACTTTCTCCATCTCATGGAGCTGCGAAGCCAGAGTCTCCCTGGTGATGGCGGGATCATCTTCAATCTCGGTCGTAACCTCGGCTGGCGCAGCCTCGGTCACCAGGGTGGAAAGAACCATGTAATCATCCCCTGCGTCCAACTCCGTCCCAATCAACGAGAAGGAGCCCACGGTGCCAGTCTCGCTAGCCACAGGACTAGAAGCCGCCATGGACAAAACAAAAGGGTCGGAGCGTGTTTTCGAAAGTATTGGATCGCAGGGGGAACAGCTGCAACTATATCGTCAACACATTACTTGCTCTCCACAAGTTCCAAGCAAAGAAACAAATATATCGTCTGAAAATTCGGCACACTGACTCCGTGCTGTCAAGCAACGTACTTGTTGAGGAGGTGCTGGTGGTCGAGCTTGAGGTCGAAGTACTGCTTGTAGTTGATGATGAGGAAGTACTTGTCGAAGAAGTGGAAGTGGAGGAAGTCGACGTTGACGTGCTGCTGCTTGAGGTGGTGCTGGTGCTAGTAGAACTGCTGGTAGTGGTGGTGGATGAGCTACTACTTGTGCTGGTACTTGAGGTAGAGGATGTAGTGCTGCTGCTGGTACTTGTTGATGTGCTACTGCTGGTGGTGGACGTCGAGGACGTGCTGCTACTTGTGGTTGAAGTGCTGCTGGATGATGTGGAGGTGGACGTGCTGCTTGATGAGGATGTGCTTGTGCTACTACTGCTGGTACTAGTTGAAGTGGTGGACGTAGAACTGCTAGTGGTTGAAGTTGAGCTAGATGTACTGGAGCTGCTAGTGGTTGTGGACGTCGAGGACGTGCTGCTACTTGTGGTTGAAGTGCTGCTGGATGATGTGGAGGTAGAAGTGCTGCTCGATGTTGAAGTGCTCGTTGACGAGGTGCTACTGGATGTGCTCGTTGATGATGTGGAGCTTGTTGATGATGTGCTGGTTGTGCTTGTTGATGTGCTCGTTGACGAGGTAGAGCTTGACGATGTTGTGCTTGAGGTGCTGCTTGTTGAAGAGGTTGATGTTGAGGTGCTGCTGGTGCTGGTGGAGGAGGTGCTGCTTGATGTACTTGACGTTGTACTGCTACTAGTGCTGGAGGTGCTGGTGGTCGAGCTTGAGGTCGAAGTACTGCTTGTAGTTGATGATGAGGAAGTACTTGTCGAAGAAGTGGAAGTGGAGGAAGTCGACGTTGACGTGCTGCTGCTTGAGGTGGTGCTGGTGCTAGTAGAACTGCTGGTAGTGGTGGTGGATGAGCTACTACTTGTGCTGGTACTTGAGGTAGAGGATGTAGTGCTGCTGCTGGTACTTGTTGATGTGCTACTGCTGGTGGTGGACGTCGAGGACGTGCTGCTACTTGTGGTTGAAGTGCTGCTGGATGATGTGGAGGTGGACGTGCTGCTTGATGAGGATGTGCTTGTGCTACTACTGCTGGTACTAGTTGAAGTGGTGGACGTAGAACTGCTGGTGGTTGAAGTTGAGCTAGATGTACTGGAGCTGCTAGTGGTTGTGGACGTCGAGGACGTGCTGCTACTTGTGGTTGAAGTGCTGCTGGATGATGTGGAGGTAGAAGTGCTGCTCGATGTTGAAGTGCTCGTTGACGAGGTGCTACTGGATGTGCTCGTTGATGATGTGGAGCTTGTTGATGATGTGCTGGTTGTGCTTGTTGATGTGCTCGTTGACGAGGTAGAGCTTGACGATGTTGTGCTTGAGGTGCTGCTTGTTGAAGAGGTTGATGTTGAGGTGCTGCTGGTGCTGGTGGAGGAGGTGCTGCTTGATGTACTTGACGTTGTACTGCTACTAGTGCTGGAGGTGCTGGTGGATGTGCTCGTTGATGATGTGGAGCTGGTGGACGTACTGCTGGATGAAGTTGTGCTGGAGCTAGTTGTTGAGGTACTGGTTGATGAGGTCGAGGTTGATGATGTGGAGCTTGACGATGTAGAGCTTGACGACGTTGTGGTTGAGGTGCTGCTTGTTGAAGAGGTTGATGTTGAGGTGCTGCTGCTGCTGGTGGAGGAGGTGCTGCTTGATGTACTTGATGTGGTACTACTACTGGTGCTGGAGGTGCTGGTGGATGTACTCGTTGATGATGTGGAGCTGGTGGACGTACTGCTGGATGAAGTTGTGCTGGAGCTAGTTGTTGAGGTACTGGTTGATGAGGTCGAGGTTGATGATGTGGAGCTTGACGATGTAGAGCTTGTTGAAGTAGAGCTTGATGACGTGCTGGTGGAGGTGCTGCTTGTTGAAGAGGTTGATGTTGAGGTGCTGCTGGTGCTGGTGGAGGAGGTGCTGCTTGATGTACTTGACGTGGTACTGCTACTAGTGCTGGAGGTGCTGGTGGATGTGCTCGTTGATGATGTGGAGCTGGTGGACGTACTGCTGGATGAAGTTGTGCTGGAGCTAGTTGTTGAGGTACTGGTTGATGAGGTCGAGGTTGATGATGTGGAACTTGACGATGTAGAGCTTGACGATGTTGTGGTTGAGGTGCTGCTGGTGCTGGTGGAGGAGGTACTGCTTGATGTACTTGACGTGGTACTACTACTGGTGCTGGAGGTGCTGGTGGATGTACTCGTTGATGATGTGGAGCTGGTGGACGTACTGCTGGATGAAGTTGTGCTGGAGCTAGTTGTTGAGGTACTGGTGGATGAGGTCGAGGTTGATGATGTGGAACTTGACGATGTAGAGCTTGACGATGTTGATGTTGAGGTGCTGCTGGTGCTGGTGGAGGAGGTGCTGCTTGATGTACTTGATGTGGTGCTGCTAGTGGTGCTGGAGGTGCTGGTAGACGTGCTTGTTGATGAAGTCGTGCTGCTGGTGCTGGAGGTGCTACTGGATGTGCTCGTTGATGATGTGGAGCTGGTGGACGTACTGCTGGATGAAGTTGTGCTGGAGCTAGTTGTTGAGGTACTGGTTGATGAGGTCGAAGATGATGATGTCGAGGTTGAGGTGCTGCTTGTTGAGGAGCTGGTGCTGGATGTAGACGTAGTTGTACTGCTGGTAGTTGAACTTGATGATGAGGTGCTACTTGATGTCGTGGTAGACGAGGATGTACTTGTGGATGAGGTGCTGGATGATGTTGTGCTACTAGTGCTTGTTGATGTGCTGGATGATGATGTGGAGCTTGACGATGTAGAGCTTGACGACGTTGTGGTTGAGGTGCTGCTTGTTGAAGAGGTTGATGTTGAGGTGCTGCTGGTGCTGGTGGAGGAGGTGCTGCTTGATGTACTTGATGTGGTGCTGCTGCTGGTGCTGGAGGTGCTGGTGGATGTGCTCGTTGATGATGTGGAACTGGTGGACGTACTGCTGGATGAAGTTGTGCTGGAGCTAGTTGTTGAAGTACTGGTTGAAGAGGTCGAGGTTGATGATGTGGAGCTTGACGATGTAGAGCTTGATGACGTGCTGGTGGAGGTGCTGCTTGTTGAAGAGGTTGATGTTGAGGTGCTGCTGGTGCTGGTGGAGGAGGTGCTGCTTGATGTACTTGATGTGGTACTGCTACTGCTGCTGGAGGTGCTGGTGGACGTGCTCGTTGATGATGTGGAGCTAGTGGACGTGCTGCTGGATGAAGTTGTGCTGGAGCTAGTTGTTGAGGTGCTGGTTGATGAGGTCGAGGTTGATGATGTGGAGCTTGACGATGTAGAGCTTGACGACGTTGTGGTTGAGGTGCTGCTTGTTGAAGAGGTTGATGTTGAGGTGCTGCTGGTGCTGGTGGAGGAAGTGCTGCTTGATGTACTTGATGTGGTACTGCTACTGCTGCTGGAGGTGCTAGTGGAGGTGCTCGTTGATGATGTGGAGCTGGTGGAAGTACTGCTGGATGATGTGGAGCTGGTGCTGCTTGTAGAGGTGCTCGTTGATGAGCTCGATGTTGATGATGTGGAGCTTGACGATGTAGAGCTTGACGACGTTGTGGTTGAGGTGCTGCTGGTGCTGGTGGAGGAGGTGCTGCTTGATGTACTTGATGTAGTACTGCTAGTGGTGCTGGAGGTGCTGGTGGAGGTGCTCGTCGACGAACTCGTGCTGGATGACGTCGAGCTGGTGCTGCTAGTAGAGGTGCTGGTTGATGAGGTCGAGGTTGATGATGTGGAACTTGACGATGTAGAGCTTGAAGACGTGCTGGTGGAGGTGCTGCTGGTGCTGGTGGAGGAAGTGCTGCTTGATGTACTTGATGTGGTACTGCTACTGCTGCTGGAGGTGCTGGTGGATGTGCTCGTTGATGATGTGGAGCTAGTGGAAGTACTGCTGGATGATGTGGAGCTAGAGCTGCTTGTGGATGTGCTGGTTGATGATGACGAGGTTGATGATGTGGAACTTGAGGATGTGGAGCTTGACGATGTTGTGCTTGAGGTGCTGCTGGTGCTGGTGGAGGAGGTGCTACTTGATGTACTTGATGTGGTACTGCTACTGGTGCTGGAGGTGCTGGTGGATGTGCTCGTTGATGATGTGGAGCTAGTGGACGTACTGCTGGATGAAGTTGTGCTGGTGCTGCTTGTAGAGGTGCTGGTTGAAGAGGTAGAGGTTGATGATGTAGAGCTTGACGATGTAGAGCTTGACGACGTGCTGGTTGAGGAGCTGCTTGTTGAAGATGTTGAGGTTGAGGTGCTGCTGGTGCTGGTGGATGAGGTGCTGCTTGATGTACTTGATGTGGTACTGCTACTGCTGCTGCTGGTGCTGGTGGATGTGCTCGTCGATGATGTGGAGCTAGTGGATGAGGTGCTGGATGATGTCGAGCTGGTGCTGCTTGTAGAAGTACTGGTTGATGAGGTAGAGGTTGAGGATGTGGAGCTTGACGATGTTGATGTTGAGGTGCTGCTGGTGCTGGTGGAGGAGGTGCTGCTTGATGTACTTGATGTGGTACTGCTACTGGTGCTGGAGGTGCTGGTGGATGTGCTCGTTGATGATGTGGAGCTGGTGGACGTACTGCTGGATGAAGTTGTGCTGGAGCTAGTTGTTGAGGTACTGGTTGATGTGCTCGAGGTTGATGATGTGGAGCTTGACGATGTGGAGCTTGATGACGTGCTGGTGGAGGTGCTGCTTGTTGAAGAGGTTGATGTTGAGCTGGTGCTGCTGCTGGTGGAGGAGGTGCTGCTTGATGTACTTGATGTTGTACTGCTACTGGTGCTGGAGGTGCTGGTGGATGTGCTGGTTGATGATGTTGTGCTGCTTGTGCTTGAGGTGCTACTGGATGAGCTTGTTGATGATGTGGAGCTGGTGGAAGTTGTGCTGGATGATGTCGAGCTGGTGCTGCTTGTAGAGGTGCTGGTTGATGAGGTGGAGGTTGATGATGTGGAGCTTGACGATGTAGAGCTTGTTGACGTGCTGGTGGAGGTGCTGCTTGTTGAAGATGTTGATGTGGAGGTGCTGCTGGTGCTGGTGGAGGAGGTGCTGCTTGATGTACTTGATGTGGTACTGCTACTGCTGCTGGAGGTGCTGGTGGATGTGCTCGTTGATGATGTGGAGCTGGTGGATGAGGTGCTGGATGATGTCGAGCTGGTGCTGCTTGTAGAAGTACTGGTTGATGAGGTAGAGGTTGATGATGTGGAGCTTGATGAAGTTGTCGTTGAGGTGCTGCTGGTGCTGGTGGAGGAGGTGCTGCTTGATGTACTTGACGTGGTACTGCTACTGGTGCTGGAGGTGCTGGTGGATGTGCTCGTTGATGATGTGGAGCTGGTGGACGTACTGCTGGATGAAGTTGTGCTGGAGCTTGTTGTTGAAGTGCTGGTTGATGAGCTCGAGGTTGATGATGTGGAGCTTGACGATGTGGAGCTTGATGACGTGCTGGTGGAGGTGCTGCTTGTTGAAGAGGTTGATGTTGAGCTGGTGCTGGTGGAGGAGGTGCTACTTGATGTACTTGATGTTGTACTGCTACTGGTGCTGGAGGTGCTGGTGGATGTGCTGGTTGATGATGTTCTGCTGCTTGTGCTTGAGGTGCTACTGGATGAGCTTATTGATGATGTGGAGCTGGTGGAAGTACTGCTGGATGATGTCGAGCTGGTGCTGCTTGTAGAGGTGCTGGTTGATGAGCTAGAGGTTGATGATGTGGAGCTTGACGATGTAGAGCTTGATGACGTGCTGGTGGAGGTGCTGCTTGTTGAAGAGGTTGATGTGGAGGTGCTGCTGGTGCTTGTGGAGGAGGTGCTGCTTGATGTACTTGATGTGGTACTGCTACTGGTGCTGGAGGTGCTGGTGGATGTGCTCGTCGATGATGTGGAGCTGGTGGAACTAGTGCTGGATGAAGTTGTGCTGGAGCTAGTTGTTGAGGTGCTGGTTGATGAGGTCGAGGTTGATGATGTGGAGCTTGACGATGTAGAGCTGGACGATGTTGTCGTTGAGGTGCTGCTCGTGCTGGTGGAGGAGGTGCTGCTTGATGTACTTGATGTGGTACTGCTACTGGTGCTGGAGGTGCTAGTGGAGGTGCTCGTTGATGACGTCGAACTAGTGGAGGTACTGCTGGATGATGTCGAGCTGCTGCTGCTTGTAGAGGTGCTGGTTGATGAGGTTGAGGTTGATGATGTGGAGCTTGACGATGTAGAGCTTGACGACGTTGTGGTTGATGTGCTGCTTGTTGAAGAGGTTGATGTGGAGGTGCTGCTGGTGCTCGTGGAGGAAGTGCTGCTTGATGTACTTGATGTGGTACTGCTACTGCTGCTGCTGGTGCTGGTGGATGTGCTCGTCGATGATGTGGAGCTAGTGGACGTACTGCTGGATGATGTCGAGCTGGTGCTGCTTGTAGAGGTCCTGGTTGATGAGGTAGAAGTTGATGATGTGGAACTTGAGGATGTGGAGCTTGACGATGTTGTGCTTGAGGTGCTGCTGGTGCTGGTGGAGGAGGTGCTACTTGATGTACTTGTTGTGGTACTGCTACTGGTGCTGGAGGTGCTGGTGGATGTGCTCGTTGATGATGTGGAGCTGGTGGAAGTACTGCTGGATGATGTGGAGCTGGTGCTGCTTGTAGAGGTGCTGGTTGATGAGGTCGAGGTTGATGATGTGGAACTTGAGGATGTAGAGCTTGATGACGTGCTGGTGGAGGTGCTGCTGGTGCTGGTGAAGGACGAGCTACTTGATGTACTTGATGTGGTACTGCTACTGGTGCTGGAGGTGCTGGTGGATGTGCTCGTTGATGATGTGGAGCTGGTGGAGGTACTGCTGGATGATGTTGAGCTGGTGCTGCTTGTAGAGGTGCTGGTTGATGAGGTAGAGGTTGATGATGTGGAACTTGACGATGTAGAGCTTGACGATGTTGTGGTTGAGGTGCTGCTGGTGCTGGTGCTGCTTGATGTACTTGATGTCGTACTGCTACTGGTACTGGAGGTGGTGGATACGGTTGTGGTAGTGGCTCCCTTGGTCGAGTTTGAAAGGTCCCATTGGGGTCAACCCGTCCGCATGTCTGGGGTCAGCCTCACAACGGCTTGGCTCATGCCGAATATGTTCAATACCAAGAGGCATTCAATCGTCTTTCTTCAAACCCAAAATCGGCTGTGGGTAAATCAACACCTTGGAGGCTGCAAGGACAAACCAGGAGCATCAATTTCTTTCGTTGCAGTAAAACATTCGCAGTGGCACAACCATGGTATCTCTCTCTCTCTCTCTAGCGTTCACACTATGCCATCAATGCCTCTTTGCAAAGCCAAACGCACTTGTAACTGCCAGGCCTTGAGGTGATCCGTCTGTCATGTTGACAAAGCCGGACCCTTTTTTCGAATGAATGCCTCAACTGCCCTTGTCTAAACTTTAAACAGTACAACTGAAAGACTGACTGTGCAAATGCACAAACAGTTTCAAACAAACAAGACTTCGCAGAAACAAGCAGTACAAGCAATCTATTCTGCCGATTTCTGAGGTACCAGGATCCAATGTGAAACTCCTCCCGTTCTTCATGCCATAGGCATTGTCCTGAACATACACTGGCAGGTTCAGTGTTTGCGGTGCGTTTTGCATTTCCAGGATTCCTGCATGTTTCCGCATTCTTTTTTCAGAGAATGATGTCAGGAGAAACGCAAGCATCCCGTTTCCGAAAGGATTTCCTGGTGAGATGCCGGTGTCGCAGGGTAGCTGATGAGCTTGTCCAGCCCTCAGGTTTTCAACATCAACCAGTTCATTCAATACCAACTAGACCAGAATTGGTATGGGTGTGCTCCAGAATGGCTATTTTATTTTGGTCCGAAAGATGATAATACCCCATTTCCGAACAAACCCATACATCTTTAGTAGCATTTATTCACTGAGTTCGGAGCTGGGATCGGTTTGTTCCAATGCCAATCTTCTGGACGTCACCTGCAGCCGTCCCGGAAGGATGACCATCGTCATAAACCTTCGGAAACTGACGCTGTGACCCCTGTGACCGCTGTGACAGATGTGACCCCCGTGACCGCTGTGACCGCTGTGACCGCTGTGACCGCTGTGACCCTTGTGACCCTTGTGACCCTTGTGACCCTTGCGACCCTTGTGACCCTTGTGACCGCTGTGACCCTTGTGACCGCTGTGACCCTTGTGACCCTTGTGACCCTTGTGACCCTTGTGACCCTTGTGACCCTTGTGACCCTTGTGACCCTTGTGACCCTTGTGACCCTTGTGACCCTTGTGACCCTTGTGACCCTTGTGACCCTTGTGACCCTTGTGACCCTTGTGACCCTTGTGACCCTTGCGACCCTTGCGACCCTTGCGACCCTTGCGACCCTTGTGACCCTTGTGACCCTTGTGACCCTTGTGACCCTTGTGACCGTTGTGACCCTTGTGACCGTTGTGACCGCTGTGACCGATGTGACCGCTGTGACCGCTGTGACCGCTGTGACCGCTGTGACCGTTTTGACCCTTGTGACCCTTGTGACCCTTGTGACCCTTGTGACCCTTGTGACCCTTGTGACCCTTGTGACCCTTGTGACCCTTGTGACCCTTGTGACCTTCTGCCGCTGTGACCGCTGTGGACCGCTGTGACCGCTTGGTGACCGCTGTGACCGCTGTGACCCTTGTGACCCTGTGACCCTTGTGACCCTTGTGACCGTTGTGACCTTGTGGACCATTGTGACCCTTGTGACCCTGTACCGTGTGACCGCCGGGACCGCGTGACCGATTGAACCGCTGTGACCGCTGGACCTGTGACCCGTGGACCCTTGTGACCCTTGTGACCCTTGTGACCCTTGTGGACCCTTGTGACCCTTGGACCCTTGTGCCCTTGTGACCCTTGTGACCCTTGTGACCCCTTGTGACCCGTGTGACCCTTGTGACCCTTGTGGACGCTGTGGAACCCTTGTGACCCTTGTGACCCTTGTGACCGTTGTGACCGTTCTGACAGTTCTGACCGTTCTGACCGTTGTGACCGCTGTGACCGCTGTGACCCTTGTGACCCTTGTGACCCTTGCGACCCTTGCGACCCTTGCGACCCTTGCGACCCTTGCGACCCTTGCGACCCTTGCGACCCTTGCGACCCTTGCGACCCTTGTGACCCTTGTGACCCTTGTGACCCTTGTGACCCTTGTGACCCTTGTGACCCTTGTGACCCTTGTGACCGCTGTGACCGCTGTGACCGCTGTGACCGCTGTGACCGCTGTGACCGCTGTGACCCTTGTGACCCTTGTGACCCTTGTGACCCTTGTGACCCTTGTGACCCTTGTGACCCTTGTGACCCTTGTGACCCTTGTGACCGCTGTGACCCTTGTGACCGCTGTGACCGCTGTGACCGCTGTGACCGCTGTGACCGCTGTGACCCTTGTGACCCTTGTGACCCTTGTGACCCTTGTGACCCTTGTGACCCTTGCGACCCTTGCGACCCTTGCGACCCTTGCGACCCTTGTGACCCTTGTGACCCTTGTGACCCTTGTGACCCTTGTGACCGTTGTGACCCTTGTGACCGTTGTGACCGCTGTGACCGATGTGACCGCTGTGACCGCTGTGACCGCTGTGACCGCTGTGACCGTTTTGACCCTTGTGACCCTTGTGACCCTTGTGACCCTTGTGACCCTTGTGACCCTTGTGACCCTTGTGACCCTTGTGACCCTTGTGACCCTTGTGACCCTTGTGACCCTTGTGACCCTTGTGACCCTTGTGACCCTTGTGACCCTTGTGACCCTTGTGACCCTTGAGACCCTTGTGACCCTTGAGACCCTTGTGACCCTTGTGACCCTTGTGACCCTTGTGACCCTTGTGACCCTTGTGACCCTTGTGACCCTTGTGACCCTTGTGACCCTTGTGACCCTTCTGCCGCTGTGACCGCTGTGACCGCTGTGACCGCTGTGACCGCTGTGACCGCTGTGACCCTTGTGACCCTTGTGACCCTTGTGACCCTTGTGACCCTTGTGACCCTTGTGACCCTTGTGACCCTTGTGACCCTTGTGACCCTTGTGACCGCACACAACAGTGACCCTGTGACCGTTGTGACGCTGTGGACCGATTTGTGACCGCTGTGACCGCTGTGACCGCTGTGACCGCTGTGACCGTTTGACCCTTGTGGAACCTTGTGACCCTTGTGGACCCTTGTGACCCTTGTGACCCGTGTGACCCTTGTGGAACC